CTTCTCTTCTCCAGGCAAAAGAGCCCCAGCTCTCTCAGTCTTTCCTTGTAAGGGAGATGCTCCAATCCCTTAATCATCTTTGTTGACCTACTTTGGACTCTCTCCAGTGGTTCCCTGTCTCTCTTGAACTGGGGAGCCCAGAACTGGACACAGTATTCCAGTTGTGGCCTCACCAGTGCAGAGCAGAGGGGGAGAATGACCTCCCTGGACCTACTGGCCACACTCTTCCCTATGGAGCCCAGGATCCCATTGGCCCTCTTGGCCACAAGGGCACATCACTGGCTTGAAATTGCTTGACAAGGGAAATTGTTGGCATTTCCACTGCTGGAAACTTGGTATTGTCACAGTTTTCAGGTTTTTTTTCAGGCATCAGCAGTATGATCACCGACTTGTCCTGTTAACCTCTTGTGCAGCTCTGCCCATTTCATGGCTCTGTTTGCCAGGGCCATGTCTACACAGGCTGCAGAGGAGGGGGTTGATCCTGTCCCACAGTGCCCACCCAGCCCCTCCACTGGTTATGTTCGGTACCTGGAGCCGCATTTGTGAGGAGGAGCAGGCTGTGACACGTGGGTTGGCTGGAAATAAGGGAACGGCTGGCAACCAGGAAACAGCAGAAAGTGCTGAGAAAAGGAACAAATCCTGAAGGATGAGACGAGGCAGCTGAGGAGAGGTTAGAGGAAGGCAGGAAGGAGCTAGCAGCGTGCAGTGCTGTTGGAGGAGGGCCGGCAGCCCCGGATGCAGCCCCTGAATGCAGATGAAACAGCAACCTCCTGCAGCGGGGAGCTGGCTCTTCTGTAAGAGCTCTTCAATGCATGCACAGTTAAAAATAAAAGGTGTTTGTATAGCGTTGACTCTCCGCGTGCTAACATGAAGAAGAATGCAAATAGAAGCGTGAGCAACAAGGAGGAGGCGGTTTAATGGCTTTGGGGATTAGCAGCGGTATTTAGAGCCTTTCACCTCTCTGTTCCTAACATAAATCTTAACACAGATTGATGGTTTTAGCCATCTGGCTTGTATTTGCTTGTATGCAATGACTAGTGAGCCAGAGAAAGAACCTGACCAGCAAGGCAAAAGAAAAAAAAGAAAGTATATGACAGAAGAAGGCATCTTCTTCTCCCATGTCAGTAAGAGCAGGTCTGGTGCAATTATTCTGTTTCAGAGAGCTCGGCAGGTAACAAGGGAGAGGGAAATGGAAGAGTAACGGGCATCACTTGATACATGACTCTACTAGGGAGCCTGTGACTTACACAAATGTGCATGCTCTGAGCATCTTGCTCTCAAAGGCAAAGCACCGTGATATTGAGAGATACAGTTACCCCAGACAGCACGAGTGTTAGAGGACGAGTTTCAATCATAGGTTGACTCTGAACTGTAAATTATTTTATACTTGACTGGAAACTGTTGTCCCGTCACTGATCTAATTCCTTAATTTTATATACTATAGTCCAATTTATAAGCTGGGAGATTTTGCGTTCTCAACCATATGGCACATTTTGGATTAGACGGCTCCCTTGTGTTCTAAGCCTTTTAAATACTGATGCGAGTTTTCTTGGGTGTGGGTTGACCCTTGCAGGGAGTCACTGTCAGTTTTCTTCTCACTCCATGCTGCAAGGTCTGTCATTCCTCTTCCAGCAAGGTTATCTTGGTAGAGCTGCCCAAAATCCAGGGCTTTAATGGGGAAGCCATGTGAAAGGTCACTGTTGTTCTTCTCCAGACAAAAGAGGAACCAAGACTTGGTACATGTGCATGCACTATAGGATGTTTTCCGAGTCAATTATTTTTAAACAGTTCTTGAGTAAAGGTGATAGTTACAGAGGACCTCATTTCAGATCTTTCAAATGGGGGAGTTTGGGCAAGAAATATTGATGGTATGTCTTTAAGGAAATGTTTACTGGTGTGAAAGGTTCACTCTTGGGTTCTCCTGTGGTTTCACTCAGTTTTGCTTTGGGGTTAATTGTGATGCATATTTCGAACCAAAGCAGACCTCTAGAAGGCTGCTTCTAGATGTGGTAAAAAAATATACAGGGAATATAAAAAAAAACCCCAAACCTAGCTATTACAAATCTAGTTTATTGCAACCTTGGCGCTGATTTTTCTTTATATTATACATGTAGAGCTTCAGTAAAAAATATTTTTACTTGCTTTTATTTCTTCAGTAACCAAGAAACTGCCTGTAATATCATTCTTTTCACTGGGTAAAAAACTGGCTGGAGGGCCAGGCCCAGAGAGTGGTGGTGAATGGAATTAAATCCAGTTGGAGGCCAGTTACAAGTGATGTTCCTCAGGTCTTGTTATTGGGAATGGTTCCCTTTAAGATCTTTGTCAATGATCTGGATGAGGGGATTGAGTGCACCCTCAGTAAATTTGCAGAGGACACCAAGTTAAGTGGGAGTGTTGACCTGCTGGAGGGTAGAAAGGCTTTGCAGAGGGATCGGAACAGGCTGGATCGATGGGCCGAGGCCCATGGTGTGAGGTTCAACAAGGCCTTGTTCTGGAACCCGCACTTGGGTCACAACAACCCCACACAATCCTACAGGCTGGGGGTAGAGCAGCTGGAAAGCTGCCTCACGAAAAAGGATCTGGGGGTGTTGGTCGACAGCCAGCTGAATACGATCCAGCAGTGTGCCCAGGTGGCCAAGAAGGCCAACAGCACCCTGGTCTGTATCAGGAACAGAGTGGTGAGTAGGACTCGGGAAGTACTGGGCACTGGTGAGGCCCCAACTTGAGTGCTGTGTCCAGTTTTGGGCCCCTCACTACAGGAAAGACATTGAGGTGCTGGAGTGGGTCTAGAGAAGGACAACAAAGCTGGTGAGGAATTTGGAGCACAAGTCTCATGAGGAACGGCTGAGGGAGCTGGGGGTGTTCAGTCTGGAGAAAAGGAAGCTGAGGGGAGACCATATCGCTCTCTACAACAACCTGAAAGGAGGGTGGAACGAAGGGGGGTTTGGTCTCTTCTCCGAAGTAACAGGCGATAGGACAAGAGGAAATGGCCTCAAGTTGCACCAGAGGAGGTTCAGATTGGATATTAGGAAAAATTTTTACACTGAAAGTGTTATCCAGCATTGGAATAGGCTGCCCAGGGAAGTGGTTGAGGCACCATCCCTGGAGGTACTTAAAAGATGGGTCATCGTAGTGCTTAGAGGTATGGTTTAGTGACAGTTGGACTAGATGATCCAAAAGGTCCCTTCCTACTTAGACAATTCTATGATTCTATGATTTTTGAGGGAAAGTGAATGAATTTTGGATACAGATTTCTAAACCACTGGTTTTTATCTCAAATAACTGGTTTGGGAGTAGACAATATCAGTAGACAAATATCAACATGGTGTTTGTCACTTCAGCCAGCCACACCAAGGTTGGTGAAAGAGCCTGCTTTAAATTTGACAGGGAAGCACTTCCACCAGATGAATTAATAGTGTGAGAATAAGAATTACAGGCACATGAAGTGACTTGGGAGTGCTGTGTGCCAAAGTGAAACTCAGATAAAGATGTAGATAGGGGTAGAATTTTCAAAGGCATCCCAATGACCTAGGGATCATGTCACCAAGCAGTTGGGAGCCAAGTCCCATTTTCAGAAGTGACGTAAGGACTTTGCTGCCTTTCAGTGAGACTTAGGTTCCTTTTCCCAGAAAAAAAAACCAGCCTTTAATTCACAATTAGTTCACAAAAGCAGTCTTTGCCTCTTCATAATTATATTGCATAATGACTTCACTACTTTTTAATAACATCAGATTTCTTGTCTGTGTCCATTATCACCAGCTTAGAAGCTATTCTGTTGCTTTGGGAATTCCATATTCCAAGTCACTTACAGAACTATAATTAAGAACTTCCACAGAAGACCAGGTGATATATGTATGTTAAGATATTATATTCTGCTGATTTAGTGTCAAGTCTTCGATTAATTTGAAATTTTATCATGCTGGTTTCATTATAAATGCTTCCATGGAAGGACTATGTTATTGAAAACTGCATAATTAATAATCTCTGTGTTACTCAAATGTTTTCTAAGTGGTTGGTTGAAAAATGTTAGGACTCCGGTTGAAATTCCTGGCTCTGTTGAAGTCAATGGCAGAATTGACTTCATTGCCATAAAGCCAATTCCCATTGGCTTTAACAAGGTTTTTCATTTTTTATCTCAAAAATTACTTGTCAAAGCTCCTTAAACTTCCTGTGTACAAATTTGTATTTGTACAGTTGGGATCCTTGTGCCTTTTGATCTCTAAAACAATTGTTTGCAGAATAAGGAGAAAGGAAGTACAATGCCCTGTTCCTTTGTGTCAGACTAAAGCATACTCAAGAGAAGCGTAACCTGCTGTTGTCTAGCAGCTTCTGAAAGTCCTGCCCTCCAGATCATGTCTGAATGAGATGGAAGAGGGAGACGAATGGATACAGACCCATCTACTCTAGATTCACAAGCATCCATGGAAATTCTCACACTTGTGATTTTTAATGCTTGTAGCAAACATAATTCCCAGTGGAGGTCTCAATTATTAACTAATTGTTCTGTTTTCATGCTATGTAAAATAAAGTTTCAGGCTCCAAATCTTGATGAAAGCAGAGCTTAATCCTCATAGCACATGTTCCAGCATTTGGATCTCAGCAGAGTTAATGGTGTAAAGATCTGACCGTGTAAATTAGGACATAAATACTACTCTAATTTCAATTACCATTGATCTTAATATTGCAAACTGAAACTTGACAACTAAACCAAAAACTCTGCTAGAAAAGAGAACGCAATTTTATTTTATACAGGTCATAATTTGCAGAATTCTGTGAATTATGCACAATTTTATTCCCTGTCTTTATTCTCAACATTTCCTGTATCTGGTATTAACAGTCTAGTATCAAAACCTTCTTTTCCCATCCACCTTCAGATCTCACTGCAAAATGTTAAATGGGAGGAGGCCAACTAAGATATGGGCAATTTGAAACACGGAATATTTAATTTTACATATTTTCTGGTATTTTTATTAATAATTTTCTTTCCATTTTTTTGACAGATGATGCTAATGAAGAAGGGACTGAGCTGAGTGAAGAGACAGGTGAGTAAACAATATTTTATGCTAAAACATATCACTTCTCTGAAGCATCAGCCAAACTGAAAGAATTCTTGAAACTAATTGCCTTGGTTGTGATAAGCAGTGCCAATCATTTATTGCCAATGTTACGACAGTCATCTCTGGTTTTTAACATAACATAGGGTAAACCATCCCTGATAATAAATAGTACACGGTAAGAATGACTGAGATTAGCTTTTTAATGTCATCATCTGTTATGAGCCTCTGGGTGATACTCGGTTGCTTTTTATTAATAACTAGTTTGAACATGAATTGAAAATAATTAAAATTCTCCAGTCTCTTTTGTCTATAAAAAGGTGTGAATACAGCAATTCTAGACTCATTTGCAATTCTGATTAGGGGCCACGATTTGTTTGCAATGAAAACAGTAGCAAAACTCTCCTGCAAACTCTTTAATTCATTTAACTTGATTGGACAACATTTTAGAAGACTTTTTTGTGGTCCTTCTAGTATGCTGTTTAAAACAAGTGTCAATGTTTAGGTTTTGTGGATGTGGATAGACTTGAAATGGAAATGACTGATAGGTATAAAGAAAAGAAAGGCCAGAGGAACAAGAAAAGGAGAGGACAGAGGATTAGATGTCTCTCATGAGGACAAAAGCTTCCAGTCAGAAGACTTCCGCTAGCTTTTTGTAGAGAGCTTCATCCATTTAATCTTCTTGGTCAGGCTTTTTGTAACAGGCTTTCACCACAGCACCCTGTGTTACTTTCCCTGCTGACCTTCACTGAGAGGTTCTCGGTGGACACCTCCTGTTCATGAGTGACTTCTGTGCAGTGAAAAAACTCTTCTTACATGCAGCAGAGCTCCCCCTATTCTTCTTCTCTGCCTTTTCTTCCTAATCAGCTAGTACCCATCTATGACAGTACACGAGACGTGTGCACTGTCCCCCAGGTCTCTGTCACCCAAATCCCATCATAGCCCAGTGACTGTGCAGGAACTTCCAGTTCTCTTCATGAAAAGCTATGGGATCAGAAAGGAGAGCCACATGGAGAAAGGCAGAGATGTACCAGCCAGAAAATAGAAGTAAAAACTTTTGAAGCAGTATGTTGGTTGCTTAAATTGGCCAGATTGTCCTAAAGACAAATGGATTATGAAGGTTTATGCAACCAGTTAATTAGCTTAGAAATTAGAAATACTTGAAGAATGGCGTGTATGCATAAATGTGAAAACATGGGTATACACAGCTAGATATATGTTACGCTGATGGATTAGCACATTCTTTTATGGCTGTTCTGGCCTGTTGATTTTATTACATATAATTATAATTACTTTTTGGTGTCAAGATTACTGGATAGGAACTTTTAGAAATTTTAATACAATTAGTGTGATTGATACAGTAGTACATACATACATAAAAGTAGAAAAATAAAGACCGTCATTATACAACAAACATTTGCCAAAGAGTATCCTACAGTTGAATTTGCAGTATTCATCTAATATTTCCAGTTTCATTTTTTACAGTTATTATGGCATGTATATTTTTATAAGCCAAATTATTTTGTGTTTTTTGTCTTGTTGCTTTTATGGAGATTATGCAAATTACATTGATTCTTTTTTTTAAGGCATTTTAAATTAGAATTAAAAGGAAGTACATTTCCACTTAATGGCCAGTCTCTTCGTTCTTGCCGTATATTCTTCACAGCTTCATTAATTTAGGTGAAGCTACATAGCTGCTCTGGGAAATTATCACTGAATTAAGTCATTTGAGGAAGATATTTCCCTGCCTGTCTGTTTCTTTGTGCATATGAGATAGATGAGATCATAGCTTCTCTGGCAGGTTTGTCTGTAGGGTGCTATGAGCTTCAACAGTGTGTACTTGCTTATTTCTTTATCACTTAGAGATATTTTGGGAATCAGTGCATTGATTGTCAGCAATCGATACCTCCATGGCTAAAGAGAACTATCTTTTGTATATCTGCTCCAGTAGTAGGGCAGATATACAGAAGTTATGCCCTTTTGACCTATTTCTCTATGGACTTTTTAATGATTGTAGGATGCATTTGTGGGAACTGTAAATACATACATAAATTCTGCATTCAGGGGAATTTTCGTTTTTATACTCAGGTTTTTATCAGTTTGAAGGATACCTGCTTTTTACTGTTCTAAGGGAAAAATAGAGTAGTAACTTGTAGTCACCACTTCAAGATATTAATTGAATAATCACTCTTCATTCCACTTGACTTCATGGGTCATGACTCCAGCAGATGGAGTCAGCAGTTGGCACAAATATTGATGACCCTAGTTTTTTGAGTTGTCTATATCTTTGTGCTTTGGGGTTATTTCTCCAATTCCTGTGCTTAAGGGAAAAAAAAAAAGAAGAAAAAAAAAAGAGAAAAAGGAAATGTTGGATTCCTGGAGAGCATATGTTGCAGACTACACGGATGTGTAGAACCTTTTGCAGAGATTCCCATATTCTAAATTTCACCTGAATTCCCATGCCTCCAACTTCCTATTGGCTAAGTGTTTCTGAGAGCCAATATCAAACCAAGAGAAAACATGTAGAAGTACAAGGACACAAATGAGATGTAGACTCATTATATCTGTACTGATTTCCATTTGAAGAAGGGAAACGCGGTAGAATGAGGAGGAGGTTACAGAATTGGTCCTAATTTAAACCTAGTGGCAAGATTAAAGGGAAAAACCCTGATCCTGCTTGTGTCAGCTGAAGTCAGTGGGAATATGTCCATTGACTTCAGTGCACACCAGATTTAGGCCTTGGGAACAGCTAGAGAATTAGCTGAGAGTAAAGAATAACAGATGACCAGATGTGTGTATTATTGAGTGATGGATACATTATGAAAGTAATCTGTCTTGTGTTTCTACCACCCTGAAGTGCAAATATCTCATTAGATGCAGAAAGGCCTGCCTTTCTGTGATTTCACATCAAAATAAATAAGGGAATATCATAATTACATCTGCCAGATAATCTCCATTAATATCTACATTAATGCTATAAGATCAACAAGCATGAATGATCATTTTAGAGAGTTAATCACATAACGTCACTGCATATATTGGCTGTACCAGAATAAGAAAAAAGCTTAAAAGTAAAAATAACCTAGTTTTATTAAATATACACACTCAAGACCACTCTTCCAATGGTGTTTGACTCAAGGGATTTTAACCCATCAGTTTGTTATTCTCGATACTGTATCTCGTAGCAGCTACTGACTTAACTGCACCGTTTAATTCAAAGCGCTTTGGTGTTATCATGTGTCATGCAGTTTGCTGATAGAATGGCTTGAGTCAAAAGGGCAGATACAGTAACGTCGGGTACGGACCTGTGCAGTTCTACAGCTCAGCTTTCCTTTATGAATGATTTCCCACACAGGCAAAGAGAAGACCAGATGACCTAATATTCTTGTCCACCTTTAACTTCAGTGATTTAACACTGCCGAGTCATGATGCTTAATGTTTTAAGCTCCATTAAGGGGAGATTATTCTAAACTTTAACTTCTAAAGGACTTTGCTTTTATACCCATAGATTCACATATCCATGCACAGAAGCATGCAAAATAAGCCCTAATACTACCATAATTGTGTGCGCAATTGCAGTAATTGCATGTGGAAATTATAGAAGCATGTGCTGTTAGGAGAAGCTTGGTCCAGACTCCTACACAATAGTATCGCATTATTATGCACTAACATAAGTTAATTCTTCTACCATAAAAAAAACCCCAAAACTAACAACCAAACAAAACCCCACACAGAAAAAAGTTTGAGTTCTGAATCTCTATTATCCCTCAACCTGTTCAGCTTCACCTCTCTACCAGGTACCAAAACCTTTTGACCTCACCTGTATGAATGTTGCCATGCTACTGTCTCTCATTTCCCATCTAATAGTTGTTCATAGTAAGTGCCCTTCTGGTTATCCCTTTTCTGTCCTGTGCATCCTAATTCATTATTTCAGAAGCCACAATCGGCCAGCATGGCAGGATGAAGGATCTTGTTCATGTTAACAAGGGAAGCCCTATTATAAACAATGCCGTATAAATATAGGATTTCTTTGTACATTTCACTGCGTGAACACTCTTATACTTGGACACTTTTTTTTGGAGGGAGACTGTCTCTTTTTTTCTGAGATGAAAATAGCAATCACTTTTAACTGGGGAGGTTCGGAAGTGTTGAGGGATTTTGGGAATAGCTTACTTGGTCACACACTGTGAGATTTAAGTGGCTTGTTGACCCTCTGAATTAGCCTATAAAGAAGAATCATTTCTCCCAGAGTTAGAGCTCAGAAACCTTTTTGCACAGATGATCATGATTAGAAAAGCTTTTAATACAATCAGTTCAGAGACCTGTCTAGATGTGCTGTTTTTAAGCAGAAATTTGCAGGCAAAATTTCTGTAATATTTGGCTAACCATCCTGAAGGACATAGATACTATTGGAGAGCAGAAGGGGTTAAGAGTTGTATTTTGTTTTGACCATAATAAAAGGACATTATTTTGAAGCCTCCACAAATACTTTTCTGTCTCTGGAATGAGGGAAATCTGTTAAAAAAGCAGTAAAATTGTGATTGAAATCTTGTTCTCCTGGGACAATGCTTCTGCATCCTTTTGTGAGCATTTTAAGGTTCTTTAGAGAGTGCAAAAAGATCATTTCTTTTGAGATAGAAACAGTTCTGACTTCTCTGAGTGTAAGCCTCCTCCCTCTCTGCCTTTGTGCTGTCAATTAAGATGTTGGTTATGTTATCTAATATATTCAGATACTCCTGAAAGACCTGGTTGGACATTTGCACATAAACTTGATTGACATTTGACTTGTGGGACTGGAGGAAGCCTCACAGATTGGTTAGATGATAAAATTCATCGCTAGAAGGGTGTTGATTGAAATACTCCTATTGATTTGATTCCCTGATGTGAATTGTTGTCAACCAAAAAAGGAGACGTAGCAGGTAGTTCAGAGTGGCATTAGAACCAAAGAAGCCATACATCAATATGGTCCACTATAAATATTCACGTTATTTCTTAAAAGAATGGGAGAGTGTTGGCAGGAATCAATCTTTAAAAGCCTGGTTATTTTCAGGATCCCTTTTTTGTATTGAAGTCCTTGTTGAACTCTGTCACTATTGCTCCCGAGTAACCCTTTTAAGGGTTGAAAAAGTCTGTCTTTATTTGATGGGTTTTGTCCTTATTTTTCCCCACAGAATTTCTTGTGGTTACTCCTACGTTCTCACCACTCCAGAAATAAATTCATCTTAGCACTTGAAAACTCTTGTTTTCCTCAAAATATTATATTTGAATTTGAAATTCAGATGAGCAAATGTGATGACAGGACACATCACATGTCCTATGTGTCCTTCAAGCTCTGAACTAGATGGAATTCTATAATGAAACAGAAATTCCATTCTAGAAGAAATTTTTAAGAACAATACTCAGTTTGGCTTTATTTGGGGTAATGCTCATTCCTTAAAATTTAGCAAGTGGGATGGAATTTAATCTCTCAAATACGGATCTCTGGTTTGGAATTTTTGTTGCCATTTTGAGCTGTTGCTTCATGTAAATTGCTGCCAGATTCCCAGTCTGTGGCTCTTCTTTTTTTTTTCCTTTTTTTTAACATAAATACAGTAGAATAACCAGTTTCCCAGCACATCAGGCAGAGAACTTAGCTAAGTTTCCTGGGCTCCTTGCAAAGCCAACGATTCAATCCCTTTCATGGTTGAATGAACAAAATATTCCCCTTGACCCTGCAGGTTCCCTTTCCACATCCTCTCTTATTTCTTTCGTACCTCCTGTTTGGAAACTTTCAGCATTTCAGTTCTAGGTATATGTAGTTGTGGAAGGGTAGAAGGTAAAGATTTCCTGGAGAAACTGGCTGCTCATGGCTTAGATGGGAATACTCTCCGCTGGGTTAAAAACTGGCTGGAGGGCCGGGCCCAGAGAGTGGTGGTGAATGGAGTCACATCCAGTTGGTGGCCGGTCATGAGTGGTGTCCCACAGGGCTCGGTGCTGGGACCCGTTCTCTTTAACATCTTTATCAATGATCTGGACGAGGGGATCAAGTGCACCCTCAGTCAGTTCGCAGACGACACCAAGCTGGGTGGCAGTGTCGACCTGCTGGAGGGTAGAGAGACTTTGCAGAGGGATCTGGACAGGCTGGATGGATGTGCTGAGACCAACAGGATGAGTTTCAATAAGGCCTTGTTCTGGGCCCTGCACTTGGGTCACACCAACCCCCTGCAGCGCTACAGGCCTGGGGAGGAATGGCTGGAGCTGCCTGGCAGAAAAGGACCTGGGGGTGTTGGTCGACTGTCGGCTGAACATGAGCCAGCAGTGTGCCCAGGTGGCCAAGAAGGCCAATGGTGTCCTGGCCTGGATCAGGAACAGTGTGGTGAGTAGGGCCCGAGAGGTGATCGTCCCCCTGTACTGGGCACTGGTGAGGCCTCACCTCGAGTGCTGTGTCCAGTTTTGGGCCCCTCACCACAAAAAAGACATTGAGGTGCTGGAACAGGTCCAGAGAAGGGCAACGAAGCTGGTGAGGGGTCTGGAGAGTAAGTCTTATGAGGAGAGGCTGAGGGAGCTGGGGGTGTTCTGGGGGTCTTATGAGGAGGAGACTGAGGGGAGGCCTTATCGCGCTCTGTAACTACCTGAAGGGGGGGTGTAGAGAAGCGGGAGTTGGTCTCATCTCCCAAGTCACAGGAGATAGGACAAGGGGAAATGGCCTCAAGTTGCGCCAGGGGAGGTTTAGATTGGATATTAGCAAACATTTCTTCACGGAAAGGGTTATCCAGCACCATCCCTGGAGGTGTTCAAAAGACAGGTTGATATGGTCCTCTGGAATATGGTTTAGTGATTTGTTTTTTTCTTTTTTTTTTTTTTTTTTTTTTTTTTTTTTTAATATGGGTCTTTTTTACAATGGGTAAAAGAAGAGTATATTTTTTTTTTTTTTTTTTTTGTCAGAGTTAGGTTGATGGTTGGACTAGATGATCTTTAAGGTCCCTTCCAACCTAGACGATTCTATGATTCTATAAAAGGGTAGTATCTACAGCTCTTAGCCAAGCCGAGGCCTATATGAGAACTGGGCATCTGATTGCTGTAAGTTGTTTAAAAATCCAGCAACATACAGAGTAGATGACTGTGTGAGCTATGTGTGACAGCAGAAGAGATGGGAGTTTACAGAACATTTAAGCAGGTTATAATACACTCATAGATAGCTTTTTTTTCTCAGTTGCTATTTAGCTAATAAGTTCAAGGTAATACCATGATTCTTACTTTTTCACAGCACAGAAATAGGGGTAAATTAGGCAAGGCCATACGTCTTCCTAAATTGCCCGATTACAAGTGGTCAAGGTTTCCTTCCAGCATTCACAGAAGTATTTTTTCTTTTGGCTTCTCCTTCACCCAAGCCCTCAGGTGGCCACAAGGAATCAGGAGGTTTGATGGAAAGTCAAATGACAAAGTCATTTTCCCATTGTGGTTGAATAGATTCAATAGGTGCAATGAATTGAGTTCTAATTGTCTGCCATTCTCTGCTTTTGTGGTTAAGCAACAATGTTTGAAGAATGTTTTAATTAGCAAACCTGCCTTCATTAAATATCTTAATTTACAAATACCTTTTATGATTTATTTACAGCTTTGCCTCCCTTTTGTACTAACCGCTTTCTGTGCTAGCAGTTGGTGCCTTGAGATCTATCATAGCAAACAAACAGTAATTTCATCCTTAAAGTTAAGATGACAGGGTATTTTAAAAATGCTGTAGAAAAAGGTCATGATTTTTAAAGTTTAACCAACTGGTATTAAACACTGTGAACTTCAGTCCCTACGAATAGGGGAGATCTTAAATTTCCCTGGCCTCAGTTACTGTTTTTACTTAAATCTTCCTTTTCCTCCATCTTCCTATTGCTTTCTGGCTAAAAGGCTGGAATTTTTTCAACCAGAACATTTCTATCTCGTAAAGCTTTCATTTCCTTAACTTTGCTTCGCTATCAAACTTGCTTCCCTACCTTTCATTTCATTGCTAATTTCGGTCAATATTCATTTGTTACTGTGCTGTAACATTGAATGGAGAATTGAGCTGAGAGAGAAAATCTTTTCATTCAGATTATTTCTCCACAGTTCCATAATGCAGCATAATATATATTATGTTAAAAAGTACAAATTAAAAAATTATTAAATTTTCTGTTTCTGAAGAGATTAAGAGCTTGTGAAGAAGTATGTTCTTTTAGTATGAGCTACCTTCACTGCTGTCATGTGAAAGTCAGGAAAAGTCCAGTCCAAGCTGGAAGATGCCTATTATGACTTTCGTAACAGATGACACAGTAATTAATTTTAATGACAGATAGATATCAAGTACGGAATGGAGTGCTGAGAGAAAATGTACTCACAGTTGTGATACTGTGCATAGCAATATTTGATATGATAAAACAATTTCAAAATAATATAGGTAATTATTTTTTTGTGTTTAAAGAAGGATTGGAACAAAAAGGCCAGCCTCCATCTCCCACAAAGAGCAAAGCAGAGCAGCCTGAGGACCTGCAAGATGATGCTGAAGGTAGGTGGTCTAACGGATTTTCAGAGCTATTAATCAATTTTGTATTTTGGAGTGAAAGCATTATTCTGAATTCTTGGGAAATAACTGGGAAACTTTCATTGAAGAATGTTGTTTGCAAACACTCAGAAAGTTCCTTCTGGCCTAGATCATGAGATTGTAGTTCTTCTGAAGCGTATTTCATCTCAAGGTAGAGTCAGAATTACAAATGCTTTATGTGATGGGCTGCTGATTATTGCTGATATATAATGAGAAATTATTGCTGTTTTATCTCTAACCTGTTCTGACTTTATGTAATTAATAATACAAAATGTAATGCGTGTTGTGCAGGGCTTGAGTCACAGTCTGGTTGGTTCAGTCGGTCAGGTAAATCAGGTCCCTGCCGCAAAACACAGAGCAATAAACTTCTTGCTTTCTTTTTCTTTAAGAAATTTTTGCTGTGTCCTTTTCCACTCCAGCTACGGTGTTTATGGCTCTAGACCTTATGCAGTGTATTACATCTATCCATGGTCAGAAGTCACAGGTGCTTCACATTATGCACATAGTTTTGTTCCTGTAAGAGTGCTGTCCTGTGCTTGAGTCTTCACAGGGCAGCTTGTCCATGTGTACGGAGGTGAACGTGTTCTACGTTGTTCTGAAATTGGATCAAAGTATCTTTTCTTAATCTGTATCTCATTGAGAGAGTTGTTAAAAGATGTTAACATCAAAGACTCATTTTTAGAGTGCAGAGTTTCACATATATGTGAAAGAGCAAAATACCCCAATGCTGGAGAATTCCCCTTATGTTAAGTAGTTAAATGCATGGACCTTAATCTTTAAACCGTGACAGTTCCTTATCATGGATTCTCTTTGACCTAATGTTCCTCAAATGACATGTCTCATTCTGCACTTCGACCAGTGGCTCCATGATCTTCATCGTTTTGACCCAGTGCTGCACGTTCAGCTCCTAAAATATTCTGACTGGGGTATAGTGTGAGTCATAAAGAGCAGAAAAATGTTAACATCTATCACTTTAAGTAACTGCTAGTAACATCCTGTCACTAACATTGTGACTGGTTGTTAATGGCAAGTACTTAAAGCAATAGCTGTCATCGCCTGGAAGGTGTGGGGGGACCCAAGAAATCTCATCCCGACTGGTCTTCTTCCCTTTCATGCTGCACTAAACCCATCTGACATTAAAATACCAATTTTATGTTTGGATTAGAGAATTCAGCGATGACAAACCACATGTCGTTTTGTATGCAGGCTAAACGGTGTGTGGGGGATCGTGGTGTCATTTTCCATATTCCTAAAGAGGCGAAACAATAATAGTTTTCAGGATATATTTTTATTTGGAGTGTGGCTAAAAGCTTTCATTGTATCAGTATTAAAAAAAAAAAAAAGTTGCAAAACTGTGAGGTTTTCCTTCCATTGGAAAAATAGCTGATGATGTTCCACTATTTCTGTGGCTTGCTAGATAGGGTTTCCTAGTTTGCTGTGCCTGTCAAATGTTTCCTGTGACCTGCAGCTCACTTGGTGAAGCACAAACAAATGCATTGGAAGGGTAAAGTAAATAGCACGGCAATAGAATGATTGCATTACCCTCGAGACTCGAAATGCCAGAACTCCTTGCATTTGATGCCCTATGGTAGATTTTGCTGATGCAGAATTGAGGCCTGTAACACATAATCACTGCTGCAGAATTGAATCTAGCTGGTGAGGGAGTCCTCTCTCCTTAGGCAGGAATCAGGCCTGTAACGTTTAGGATTGAAAGTCTAAATTTAGACTTGAGGGTGGTTGTGATAGAGGTAATTAGGTAATTAAAGTGTTTGCTGAGGGGGGCTGGGGAAGAAGGCTGGATCAGATTTCTGTGGCATTACCTGTGCCTCCGATATGAAGAAGAGTTGAGCCGTTGGGCTCCAGACACTGAATTCCTATAAAGTTGCCGAGCGGCTCGAGTCTAATGTAACACACCTGTGAGCCATTGCCATTTAAGTAAATGGGATTTGCACACATTTGTCTGAGAATAGGATTTAGTTTCTACTGTTCTAATTATTAGCTGTTGGTATTGACTAATTAAAAGAGATTTTAATGGGGAGCCTTGAAGATTATGAAAGCTGTGAATATGTGACATGAACCAGAACTACTTGTCTGAATAATTTTATTTAGGTAGGAGTTTGTCTTCCAAAAACCTGACTTTTTCTTTTTTTCCTTTCCTTTTAGAGAACTTCTGAGTAGCTAATGCATACAAACAGTCTCAAATAAAACACAATAAAGCCAAACTCTGGCTGAGGTCACCTTGGTTGAATTTTCCTCATGATGAAACAGAAGTGCTTTGTGTTGGGCATGTTTTAACTTTGGGATAGTTCACGTGCTTTAGGTACCCCAAGTTTAAAAAAACCCAACCAAACAAACCCCCCCAAAAACAACAAACAAACAAAACCAAAGAAACAGCAAACCAAAAAAACCCAACCCATAGCTTTTAGCAATAAAAGCAATCCAAAGATACTTATGCTTAACATAAGATTATTTTCCCCTTGGTAACGTGACCAGATATAAAGTATTTAACAAATGTACACGGAGGCACGGGAAGAACCAGATATTTTTTCCTCTGCTTAGTTGTCAGTGTCCTTTTAGGGTGAAGATGGGAATACAACCCTCTGCTTTAACAGCCTTATGCATGCCCTTGTGGCTGTCTGCAAAAACTGTTCCACTGAGTTCAGGAATATTTCTGCTGTATTTCTCCAAGCTGGTTCATTGGCTGGAGGTAATGGAGCAATATCTTTTCAGTGCATGTAAAAATCTCCACAGAAGCTCGTGGAAAGTAGGCTCCTTCATTATTACCCTCTCTGCAATCAAGGAAAGTCGAATAAGTGGCTGTATGTAAGGAGCTTGTTTTGTAGTAAGCTAAAATAAACACTTGACATGCTAATGAAAGCAATTTTATACTGAACCTCTAAAGTATTAATGGTGTCTGTTATTATGCTATTAGATATATTGTTCTCTGTCTTCAGACCGTTGATAGAGAAAGGCAAGTGTGAACTGCAGAGCAGATTCTCCTGTCAATGGTTGTATTCAGTAGTTTTTCACTGTAGCGCAGGTTATTGTCTGGGGAAACGGATAGACTGGATACACACAGAAACATTCTTTACTCCCAGGTTCCCTGCAGTATTTCAGGTTTGACATGTGCAAACATGCAGTGTGATTTTCTGCACTCCCCACTCCCTCCTGCCCCTTCCCTGGGTCCTGGGAGAGTAAAACCAGCCAGTGATAATTTTGCCTTTCCCCTCGGTCAGGTGCACTCCGTGACTGAGTGATTGTAAAGTCTCAGGTGAGAAAAATACGTCCGGCATTAAACAAAACTTTGCACGTCTTCCTTCAGGAACTTCATAACACAATCCTGAAGTAATTCCATAGGCAAAATGGCAGCCCTTGTCACAGCACAGCAGCCACAGGTCACCTGTTCCCATCCTACTGATTGTCACCAAGCAAAAGCAAACAATTTTTACAAAAGTCTAACAAAATAAAAAATTAAAATGTTGCTTATTTCTCTTAGCTACCTCCCCAAATGTTCTCCTATATATGCTGGATGATGAGGTGTATGCAGTAGATTTCCTTGGTACTGGGAGAAGCAAAAGTGTTTGCCCTTTCCTTCCTTATGGGATTTCTCAGCAAGGTAGGCAACGGAGGCTGCCCAAGAGCTGCTCCATTCCCACCACAGTCTGCAGGTGATCAATATTGTATCAAAGACAACTAATACATCTAATAACAGCAACACAAATGCCTGATCTTTCTCCTCCTCCAGGAGAAAGATAATCAATCCATGCAGCAAAAGCTGTTCCTGTGCTTCCTGAGGTCAGGATCCTCCCTGCCCTCCTCCCTCAAGGGATATGAAGACAGAACTGGAGCTCTGCAAGTTGTCTTGCTCCAGCTTTTCTCATAAACGTCTCCCAAAATGAATAACTAGATTCTTCCTGATAGACTGATAAGTTGTTGGTCTCACACAATCACCTTAGCTGAGGCTCAGTGTATGTGCGAGGAGCTGGTCTCTTGGAATTGCTCGTCCGGAATGAACTTTGTCTGCTTTCTGTTCAGTTGGTGGGAAGGAGAACAGTTTGATGGATAAACCAAGTCAGGAAGGTCAACATGAACACAAATCACCTTTAAGAGAGTTGGTAGAGTTGGTTCTTTTGCCTGATGAGGTCATTGCACTGTCGACCCCTTGGCTTTCAGGGCCAACATCAAATGTCTGAAACATTGCTCGGCAGTGTCAGGAGTCTGAGGCTCACCAGCAGGCTCCTGCCTCACTCGGTGGACACTCTGTCCATCAGAGATGTTGGTCTAATGATTGGAGTACACAAATACACAGTAGAAATGAGACAAGATGGTATCATACCTTATCATGACGGCTCATTGGTTCCAGCAGGTCACGGCAAGTAGGTAGGATGCTCACCCAGAGGAGGCACCTGGCTCTTCATCCCTTCTCCCAAAAAGGCTTTTTCCAACGACAAAAAGTGCGTAGTCTTGGGACCGGAACACGAAACTCATTTTACTGCTTAGTCCTGTAATTGTGAGATTAACATAAGGCTTCCCCTTCATGGTTCTCCTTTACCAGTCACAATTTCTGCAGCTTTGCTGCTCGCTGCCTGGCTTCACAGAGAGGGTTTAGAGCTCACACCCCCAAAAAGCAGTGCTTGGCTTGTGCTGCTCTCCTCTTAGGTGGGCTTGAGCTTCCCTGGGTCTGGGGGGGCGCACGGGACAGCAGCTGGGTGTTGCTGTTACCATCGCACAGGGGTGTTCAAGGCATCTTTTCCAAGGGCCTTCTAATGCTATGCAGACCAGATTGTCTCTCTCTTTAAGGTATGAGTTAATACTAACTAGATTTGACTTCTGATCATTTTCAAAATGTTCTTTGGTTTATAGCAAGCAATTCTTTTAGAAATTGAGAACTTGTAGCTACGTTTCTTCTTTGCATCCCACAGGGCAGTAATATTCTTCAATAAATTTCTGCTCCACTCATAATC